TCAACGTATAGAACAAGCTATTGATAGAAACACCATTCATAGGCAAATCATAAACACGACAAGTTCACAGATGTTCTATAGACTAATAAGAAGAGACAAGAGGGAGATAACTTTCAGATATAAAAAAAAAAACTCCAAAAAAACTGATGAAGATCAATTTCTCTTTCTACTTAAAGATCAGAGGAGAGTTTTTGCAACCTACTACGAAGACCTGTGTGCACCAAAACCAAATCAATACGATACGCTCTATGTAAATTTGTGCACAATTCTACAAAAGGAAGTAATGAAACGTTTTGAGGACCCTGAAATACCTATGAACTACTTCACTGCCTCCAATATCACAAAATCTATAAATGAACTGAACATGAACAAAAGTGCTCATTTGGACTCAGTGCAGAACATGAAATTTTGCAAAAAAATAAATAGAACCCTTTTAAACTGAATTATTCAACATAATTTGGAAACGGTTAGGACCCCTAATAACTTCAAAAGTTGTGTACCCCGTATTATAAAAAGACAAAGATCCTACTTCTGTTAATAGTAACCGTGGCATAATAGATACTCCAGTCTTAGGAAAGGTATTTGAATACTGCATCTTACCAAAACTTAATCCGGCAAATATTACTGAATTTCAATCTGGCTTTACTGAAGGACTAAACCCTTTTTTCTACAATTTTATAATAACAGGATCAAAATATGATCAAACAAGGAAAAGCTGTGAATTCTACATGGGATTTCTTGCTGTCCAATCAGCATTTGATGTTGTACAGTCCTTTGATGGTGTGAACTTCCCACTTACACCATACACCATTACATCATTCACCATACAACATTACACCATACACCCTGAGCCATTACACGATACACGTTACACCTTTGCACCATACACCTTACACATTACACCATAATGCAATTTAATGTCAAAGAAAGCGTGCGACTACAAAATTATTTATTTATCTTAAAAAACGAATTTTGATCACAATATTGTAAATTAATGTATAAAATTAAAAATCAGTTCCTATCAATATTTTGCATAGTTTTAAATGTCGTACACCATTCATTCACACCATACCCGATCACACGTTATACCATTACACCATTCCCCTTACACCATACACCATAGCACCATACACCTTCTATCATTGCACCATATGTCATACACCATTACACCATACACGGTTTTTTTGGGAGGTTTACACAATCCAAGGGCTGTACAACATGACATTATTTTTGATAAGATATAAGATTACGAAATCTTTTTGTTAGGCTTGTTATCAAAAAATTACACACCAAATTGAGTGCAAAGGTAAGATGGCAAGGAGACATCGGCGAAAGTTTTCCCGTGCTCCAAAGTGTACAAGGAGAAATCTTTTCTACCCATCTATACAAAATCTGTATTCACGATCATCTTCTGGAATTTGAAGAAGTTCTCTAGGCTACAACATGGGAAACATATATGTTGGAACACCCACATGTGCTGATGATATGTTCTTCATTTAATCAAACAGAGACAAATATCGAATAATGTTGCTGAGGGATATTCAAAACAATACGATTACAAGATTTATCCATCTAAAACAAATATTGTAACCTGTGGTAATACCGTAAAGTCTCACTGTACTCTGCATGATACAACAGTAACAGTTTCCAAGGAAGCAATTCATTTAATTATTTCAAGAAGTTAGAAAAAAGAAGGTAAAATTAATGTAGCCAATCGCTTAAATTATGAAAGCAAAGCTTTATATGCATTGATGGGAAGTGGGGCGCATGGGACCAATGGATTAGACACAGTAACATCTTACATAATTTACAACACCAATGTTTTGCCACGATTGCTATACGGATTGGAAGTTATTCCTCTAAACAACACTACCATTTAACAGCTAGAAGCATTCCATGGAAAAACCTTGAGACATCTTCAATCATTACCTCAGCGGACAGCCATAGCAGCAATATACGTTATGATCGGCGGACTCCCAATCAAAGCTGAAATACATAAAAATCAGTTATATTTCCTCAATAACCTATCAACTTCCAAAAATCAGAAGGTACAAGACAATAAGCAAATGTCTGTTAATTTTAACAACCCATACAGTTTCTTGTGAACAATTAGAGAGGTTTTGGCAACATACGGGTTGGCACCACTCCACCAACTGCAAGAAACTATATCTTTAAAAACAAGCTTGAAATTTATGGTAAAAAAGAAGTTAAAAAAACTACTGGCACAACACTCTATTGGATGATGCTGAATCAAAAACAACCCATAATAAAAGGAATACAAATAACTTCGTTATTGGAACAAATAAGTCCGTTTGGAATATCCACGACAAAACAAAAGTCGACACACGCAAAGCCATTATAAAAGCCTGAATCTTATCAAGAACATCCATCCTTAACTTTGATAGAGCTAAATTAAATCAGTGTCCAACATAATTATGTCAGCTATGTCGTTTATCAGTTGAAGATATTACTCATTTTCTTCTAGACTGTCCACTTTTAGCGAAAACTAGTACAATTTTTTTTTAACCGATCAAAGATGGATTAATACAAAATACTGTTGCCACAACCTGGCTTTGGTTATTCAACAATAAACTGGACATAATAAGACTTATGATAGACCGTAGACACTTTTCTCATCTTTTTACTGACACCAATCTGATGAATACAATAGAAACATCTAATAAGGAACTCTGATACAGGCTTCACATCAAACGCTTGAAAATGCTTGAGGCAAGGCGTAGTTGATGGTCTAAAGCAAACATTGTTAGACTAACAGATAAAAGCGAAAGACAATTGCTGCATCGTATTCTATGTACATATACATATATATATACGTACTTTGTGTGTGTATACGAAAGAGTATATATTTACTGGATTTTACCTTTTACCGATTGCAATTTTATCTATGCAAGAAAACTTCAATTAATCTGTAGTATGTCATGCGCAAAATCTGGTAGAGTGGTGATGTCAAGTTGGGAAATTAATTATATTGCTAACCCATTTACTAATTACAACCTGTATTCATAATGCTTTGTTTTCACTTATGATATACATTATATAAAGTTGAAAATTTCTATAAAATCAACTATTGACGGACGATTACTGTTCTCAATAGCTTACACTAGCTCTGTGGGTAGTGTGAGTTAAGCATTAAGAGATCATACCATAGGGGCAATCAATAATATCCTTAAATGTCATAGATTAAAATGAAGAAATAAAGAAATTTTAGAGTATTTCCTGAAAAAGAGCACTTTCGATTTACTTCAAATTACCAAAGATATTGAATAGAACAAGATGTGAAACCAACCATTAACACACCATTCATATTGCTATAGCTTTCTGAACTCATTATTTGCTATTTTAGAAGGAAAATGATGATAATAATATTTCACAGTATTGTTGTGATGCTTATTCCACATTTGCTAGAGATATAGGGGAGGGTTGAGATTTCACAAAAGATGTTAAACCCCGCAACATTTTTGCGCTTGTCCCAAGTCAGAAACTTCTAGCCTTTGTTAGTCTTGTGTTGTGTTTTTTTTTTTTAATTTTGGTTCATTTGTATATTTCGGAGTATAGTGTGGCATCCATTTCGCTGAACTTGTAAACATTATTGTTTAGGGGCCAGCTGAAGTCCGCCTGCAGGTGCGGGATTTTCACGTTGCAAGTAAGAACCATTAGTGGCTTTGTGCTGGTTTCTGCTGTTTGGTCGGGTTGTTGTCTCTTTGTTACATTCCACGTTTCCATTTTCTATTCTCTATTTTATTGTCAATTATATTATAATAATGGAATATTTAGAGTTTCATTAATTCATAATGGCAGCTTATTCAAATTTAAATCCATAGTTATAACTGGTAATTGTGAAAAATCTTCCGATATGAAAATTAAACAGCAATCGAAATGGTGCTCAGAACCATTAGGAATATCTAGAATGTCATTGTGTTCATAAAAACTGTAAAACATACTTTTTGACAATCCTTGGTCAATATAAATGATTTTCTTTTTTTTTTAAATGTTCTTGAATGAACCATTTCTTATTTCATTTGTCAAGCTTTAAAGGGGAATCTGAAATGTATGAGGTCTACACAAATTCTTTAATCCCGCCAGTTTGTATGCATTTCTTATAAGTGTTGCTCTATTGCATCTTGTTCTCCAGCTATTGGTGCATATAAAACGGGAGAATCTAGCATCGTAATGGAGTAACAAAACTAAACGTGTTTTAACAAAATCGCTTAAAGACGAACAACAGAAGCTATTCCACACGGTCCTAAAGCGTTTTACACAGTTTCTCACTCTCACAATTAGGTGTGTAAAATTCAAAGTGGGTCACCCACTTGAAACAGGAAATCAAAAACGTTCCAATGATTGAAAAAAAAAATGTCTCTTTTTTGGACCTTCGTATATGTTTTAGTAGTGTTCCTGTTGCTCAGTTTTTTAAGTTTTCTTAGTACGACTGTTTTCTGTCTTTTCGTCGTTTGTTTTGTATTTTACCCTGGCTTAGTCACTTACACCTCGATTTGTGAATTTTGATTGTCCTTTTCGTGTCAGCCGCCTCTTTAGAACTTGAACCATTGCACCATTTTGTTTAAGTCAAATTGTTTTTTGGCTTTTGTTCGAAAAAAAGGAATAAATAAGGATACAGGTAGGTAACAGGGACCCTAGCATCCGTTTGAGTTAAAATATACCCCTATGACATGCCTGGGTGGTGCTTGGGGGAATTCTTTCCCCCTTATGGGTCATTGCCTATAGGGTGATTTTTTGGCCTTTGGGGTTTGTTTCACGCGTTTTTCTTCCTGAGGACGTATCTTCTTAACAAATAAAAGACGTCAAAAAGTTAGCCTCGCCTATGCCATGCGAATGGAAAAAAAACCGAGACGGGATTTCTGGTACAACATTAGCATGTGCCCCACATTACTATGTAATATACAATTGTGCGACTAAAACAACTGCAAAATCTTCACCTGCCCGTCTTCGATATTTTATGTTCAGTTTCTTATTTACAGCTTCAAAGCAAAACAGATCAAGGCTACACACCTCTACGATTTAATGCATTTTGAAAGGAAGCTTTTTTTTGTTAATCATGTTGATAGCTGAACGTGTAAGTAAATACATTTATATATTATTTATATTTATATGTTATTTATATTTAAATGTTTTTATATTTAGTAAAAATAAAACAAAGAAAGAATAAATAAGCAATAAATAAACAGGTTATAATATAAATGTTCATCTTTTAGCAAGTGCAATTAACCAGGGCTGTGGAAATATCTGTTGTGAATACTTGTTCCTAGGAAAGTAAAACTACAAATTTTACTTATCCAGAAGAAAATGTGTACTTGCCCTGAATTTCCTCAAGATGTATATTAAAATCAACGAAGAGATGAAAACAAATAGTTAATTTATTTATTATTGAACGAATATTTGCACACAAGTCAAACTTTATAGTTTGGTGGGCTAAGTGTGGATTTTATCAACAAACTGGAAAAATATTTATAGTATTCCTAAATAATGGTATTTTACATAGCCTTTCTAAATCAGAACAACATATTTAGAAATTCTTTCTACCCTTTATGTGTTTACCCCATTTCTTGTCAGCCTACAATTTCTTTTTTTCGTAAAAACAAAGTTTCTTGCCTCAACATCTAATTGCTGAGGCTGCGACAGTTTGTTTCGGACGCAAAACATGATGAACCAACAATCCATAGTCAAAATGTACGTTCAGTCTCTGTTTGACGTTTTATTTAGACATCAACAAATTTGTCAAAACCTTCATCATGTTCATGCAATTTTAAGACATTGGAACAGTAATTTTATGATAGAGAGAGGAGGAAGATACTAAAGGGATATTCAAACTCATAAGTCGATGACAAACTGACAAACTCAATGACAAAACAACGACCAAAGTACAAACCCGAAGCGATTAATTTATGCATCTGTGAAACTGATATCGGGAATTTTATCACGCTGCTGTTTTCTAACCAAAAGATTTTGAAAAAGTTTTCAATATTATTCTAAAATAAAATAATACTTTCTTTTTTTTTCTTTTCTCAGATGAACATCTTTTTTTAAAGAGAAGAACATTTAGAAGATAGAACATTCAAATAATAATTGTTGCTATTTGTTTCAGTTAAATCAATTTATGACTATTGAACAGCGGCATACTACTGTTGCCTTTATTCAGTAGCTTACACAATGTTAACTGTTTACAACATATGAATATATTGAATATTATTTAATGTTGAAAAGTGTTTATTTGTTTTAATATTTTCAAACAGTTGTCTTTGATAAGGAAAACAATATACAGCTTTTAAGATTTGTCTTTGGTGTTCTTGCAAGGGACACTACTCCTGCAGATTTAAAATTGCCATATATTTTGTCTATTTGGATTGTATTTAATGGTCTACATTTGGTTTAACAATATTTGTTGCAATTTCAAATTTTGACTTCTTTTCGAATTTTGTATACACTTAAAATGAAGCTGACTTTGATTTGAATTGCTATTGGTGTCCATTCAGTTTAGCTTTTTTATTTGTTGTCATACAAAAGGAGGGTACACCGGAATTGAAAGTGATACTAGCTAAAACCAAATGATGTTTTAAAATACTTCTATCATTAAGAACAAGAAAAACATATTCAAAGGGAGATGACTAAGAAACAAAATGATATTTGATGGTAGTGCACCAGAGACAATATAGTCCCAGTTTCCATGTGGCTTCTTTACCAGTTAATATATGTTTTTGTTATCATAGCTAATACTACCTTATATAAACATGTTCTTGCCACACGAATTTCATGTTGATATCACACGGCTTTGTTATATAACGTGAATTTCATGTGTGGCAACGTTTAAATCACATCATTCATGAAATCCTATCATTTTGTTTTAAACAATCCAACATTCTAATTGCTATAAATTTCCTTTTTACATTTGTAGTAGAATGACATTTTAATCGTTTGTATGCACATATTTGACTTACAGGATTGTACGTCGGTCTGTTTGAAATTTCTATTTTGATAATATCATATTGATCTATTTGTTATATTTACTTATTAACATATGCTACATCGACTTTTGAAAGACCCAAATGTTATTAAGCACCGGTCCTACCCTCATGCCAAATATGTTGACCAAGGGCTTCACGAAACATTTTTCTAAATTATTAAAATCAATGTGATCAGCATTCAAAACTAGGCTTGTAAGTTATTGTGAAATTATCTACTCTTGGGGTGGCGTCAATGAGACGTGTATACTTAACAATTCAATAGATCTGTTAGAGTACATACAATTTAAGTCTCTTTCCTCTTGCAATAGTATGAAAACATTTGACTTCTCTATCGTTCACACAAGTTTTCCCTATTTCAAACTAACAGACAAATTGCCAATATTGGTCCTGCCTTGTTTCCTTAGCAACAATGGCTGAGGTAGATATAAGTATCTTGTCTTAGGGAAGAATTCATCGAACATTGTAAAACATTACGCCTATTCAACCATAAAAACCCTTCAAACTGACTTTATCAAGATGTTTGATTTCTTGATTGACATAAATTATTTGTTACGGTTGCAGGACGTTTTTTTGTTTTAAAAACAAGGGGCATTCCCAGTCGAAATCATTTGTGCTTTTCCATGTTTTCTTTTTGCCGACTTGTTCCTTTGGTCATATGAGGCTGACTTCCTTCATGAACTTATTAGAAAGAAGGAAAAGAGACTTCCACTCAGTCGTCATTTGAGATCCCCTGACCACACTTATGCAGATCTCAATCGACTGACTATTACCATCATTAACCACATCACGGCTACGTCTAGGGAGGAGATAATCACTCGGGAAAGACTTTGGATAAGAAAATTTGCCACCAAATTCGAACAATGAAATTTTTAGTTCAAATTGCGCAGTGATAATCCTCCCCCCTTTCCTCTTGATGTGTTTATTTCATTTTTAATAAATAAATACGCAGCCTCTGCTGAAAATATTAGATATGTGTACACTTTGAATTTTAGAATTATACAAGTTTTGTTCGGTTTTTAATGTGTATTAAGCTCAAGATTGCTTTAATGTAATCAAAAAAGAATTGATTAGATATACCATACTGATGAAGGATATCTATTATTCTAACTATTAATACTTGTATTTACTGTTTCCTTTCTTGATATTGATTTTGTTGTGTACACTTTTACAGCGCAACTATAATTCATTCATTCTGTACAGTATTGTTTTTCTTAACGATCCAGCGTCTTTGTGAGAAAGATCAGTGACTATTATCTAGTCGTTTTATATAATTTTTCTCAATGTTAGATCTGTAAATTTGCGTTAGGTTACTTGTGTTTATCCCTAAACGGTTTTTTACAATGTGTCTTTACATTTTTCAGATACTCAAGTATGATTCTTTCCTCGTTTATTAACCCCAGATTAGGTAAGTTTGCAAGAACATTATTTATAATAACCTGGCTCGATCAACCATAGAAAAACTAATCACTTCTCGTTATACTTTTTTCTAAAACCAAAATAAATAGAATCACGCCGAAGATGAACATTTCAATAAATTCATTGCATGTCCAGTTGTGTATTTTTCTACGAATCATTACTTAAAAAAGTGATTTGTATCGACTGCAACAAATCTAAATAAATTAGATAACCTTTTTTTTCATTTTTATACGACCGCAAAAATTAAAATTTTTTTGGTCGTATATTGGTATGACGTTGGCGTCGTCGTCGTCGTCGTCGTCGTCGTCGTCGTCGTCTGGCGTCGTCCGGCGTCGTCCGAAGACACATTGGTTTTCGCACTCTAACTTTAGTTTAAGTGAATGGATCTCCATGAAATTTTACCATAAGGTTCAATACCACGAAAGGAAGGTGGGGATAGATTTTGGGGGTTAATTTTACCCAAAAGTTAAGGAATTAGGGACCAAAAAGGGGCCAAAAATAAGCATTTTTGTAACTTCCAGACAATAACTTGTGTGTAAGTGTATGGATCTCTCTGACATTGTACCACAAGGTTCCATATCACAAAGGGAAGGCTGTAATTGATTTTGGGGGTAATTGCCTCAAAATTTTAGGAATTAGGGGCCAAAAAAGGGGCAAAAAACAAGCATTTTTCTAGTTTCATGACAATAACTTGTGTGTAAGTGTTTGGATATTTCTGAAATTGTACTACAAGGTTCCATATCACAAAGGGAAAGCTGGAATTGAGTTTGGGGGTAATTGCCCGAAACGTTTAGGAATTGGGGGCCAAAAAGGGGCCAAAAATAAGCATTTTTCTAGTTTCCAGACAATAACTTGTGTTCAAGTGTATGGATCTCTCTGAAATTGTAATGCAAAGTACCATACCACAAAGGGAAGACTGGGATTGAGTTTGAGGGTGATGAATCATAAGGGGGTTCAAAGAATTTGGGGGGGGGGGGGATTTTTTTTTTCTTTCTTTTTCTTTTTTTTCCTTTTTTTTTCTTTTAAAATTTTCCATTTTAAGTTGGTTATTTCTGATTTATATTTAAAAGCATATTATAATGATATGGTAGGAGATACACACCAAACAGGATGTGTAAATTATTATTTAATAAGTATATTGCAATAGCAAGAAATTTTCAATTGCACAGTATTGCACAATAGCATGAAATCTTCAATTGCAGAGTATTGCGCAATAGCAAGAAATCTTCAATTGCACAGTATTGCGCAATAGCAAGAAATATCCAATAGCACAATATTGCGCAATAGCAAGAAATTGTCAATTGTACAGTATTGGGCAATAGCAAGAAATATTCAATTGCACAGTATTGTGCAAAAGAAGATACTTCGTATAAATTGCTTATTTCTTGATCAATTTCAATGGGGTTTTATTCTTGAAATCTTGGGGTCTTTAATATGCTGAATCTAACCGTGTATTAAGTTTTTGGATTTTGGGCCCCGTTTTTAAATTGGTCCACATTGAGGTCCAAAGGGTCCAAAATTTAACTTTGTTTGATTTCATCAAAAATTGAATTATTGGGGTTCTTTGATATGCCGAATCTAACAGTGTATTTAGATTCTTGATTTTTGGTTCCGTTTTCAAATTGGTCTACATTAAGGTCCAAAGGGTCCAAAATTAAACTTAGTTTGATTTTAACAAAAATTGAATTTTTAGGGTTCTTTGATATGCTGAATCTAAACATGTATTTAGATTTTTGATTATGGGCCCAGTTTTCAAGTTGGTCCAAGTTGGGGTCCAAAATTAAACTTTGTTTGATTTCAACAAAAATTGAATATATGGGGTTCTTTGATATGCTGAATCTAACCATGTATTTAGATTTTTGATTTTTGGGCCCCGTTATCAACTTTGTCCACATTGAGGTCAAAAGGGTCCAAAATTAAACTTTGTTTGATTTCATAAAAAATTGAATTCTTGGGGTTCTTTGATATGCTGATTCTAACCATGTATTTAGATTATGGATATTGGACCATAATAGGTGAATGTCCAATTTAAAATTTTTAAGTTCTTAGACCACATTCATTCTGTGTCAGAAACCTATGCTGTGTCAAATATTTAATCACAATCCAAATTCAGAGCTGTATCAAGCTTGAATGTTGTGTCCATACTTGCCCCAACTGTTCAGGGTTCGACCTCTGCGGTCGTATCAAGCTGCGCCCTGCGGAGAATTATATTATAAAGTATTATATTGTGTAGTTTTATTGATAGGGAAATCATGTCAAAGATATCCGATAGCCGACAGATCTTCAAAGAGTCGTTCCTTATCCAATGCTTCCAAAAACAATTTTAACACTTCAGAACTAGCTAAAAGAGAGGTGAAAGATACCAAAAGTGATATTCAAACTAATAAAGCAAAAACATGACGAAAATACAAACAACAGTACACAACACACAATATCAAAAATGAAATACAGAGCAACACGAACCGAAAAAACCCAGAGGTCATATAATGTGCTCCGGAAAGGAAAGGAGATCCTGCTCCATAGGTGACACCCGTTGTGTTGCTATTTTATGTACCAACCCAGTAATCATTTTTATTCTATAAGTCACATTCGAGACGAGATAATACCGTTATTTCTATAAGTTTGTTGTACAGTATTCATTACAAGTGTTTATAATTATGATAGCTTTATACTGACGCATTAACAGCGTGATGGTAGATAAATGTAGGATTTTTCACGTGCCAAATTCTTCAATAGTTGTGTTATTATTTATTTTTTCAGCCAGGACTGTTATAGGTGTAACAGCTTTCTGTTTTTGGATACCTATGCTGCTATTAATTTATGGACAAATGGATGACTTGAAAAGAACAGATTTTCATATGATCAAGAAACAACAACAATCATTAGGGGCAAATGTTTCAGAAACCTCTTTTTCTATATTATTTTATGCTACACCTGTTTGGTTTACTCCTAAATCTTTCGATTTTGATAAATGTAGCTACAGAAACTGCAAATTAACAGAAGACAAAAAACTACTTTCCACCAGTGAAGCTGTAATTTTTCATCATACTTCATTTTCAGCATTGCCAGAAAAGCCAAATGGTCAAGTATGGATATTTGCTACTTTAGAGAGTCCATATCTTACTTATACACGCTTTCAAACTGATAAATTAAAGAGGAAATTTAATTGGACAATGACGTACCGAAAAGACTCGGAAGGGTTTTCACCGTATATAATTTTGAAGAAACGACTTCACATTCCAGTAAAAAATTACCCTTCTATATACATGAATAAAACAAAAAACATTGCTTGGATCGTGAGCAACTGTCGAACTCAATCAAATCGAGAAGCTTATGTGAAAGAACTATCGAAATATATTGATGTTGATATTTATGGAAAATGTGGGAAACCCTGTTTATTCAAAGAAGATTGTAAAACACATTTAAGTAAAAGTCACAGATTTTATCTTTCTTTTGAAAATGCATTATGCAGGGACTATATGACAGAAAAAATAGCAAACATGTACAATTCTGATAGAAATTTTATTCCAATCGTTCGAGGTGCACCTAATACAGGAGATTATTTGCCACAAAAGACATATATTTCAACGTCAGATTTTGAGTCACCCCAGAAACTGGCGGCGTTTCTAAAGATGTTAGGCCGCAATGAAACACGTTATATTTCATATTTGAAAGAAAAAGACAAATATGTGGATATATATGGAAAGTTAAAAGCGGGACTTTGTGATATATGTTATCATTTAAATGTTAAAAAACAAAAGCCAAAAACTATAGATTTAAACAAATGGCTATGGGAAAATCAGTGCCATACGCCAAATGACATACCCACTTAAAGTGATGAAATTGTTTGGAACATATTTGACATTTGAAATGCTTTACCAATTGCAATATTTTGTGTTTATGTCATGTTTTGAGAAATTTACTTTTTCAATGTAGATTAAATCTAACTGTATTTCTTGTCATAAATTATATTAAGTAAATATATTTACGACGTCGAACTGCAACTTTGTTATTCTTTGAATGAAAATCTAGGATCCTTCCATAAGGGAGGCTATCCCAATAAAAGGTGACTCGTTGACCTGTCCCTTCAAACGACCGAGCAATGTTTCGCAGATTTCAAATTTTGTTTCATGCTGTTCTCAAGCTAGTGAAGTATAACATGCGATAACACAAAGAGTCTGAAATAATGACAAGGTAAGCCAAACCTCAAGATTCCTATGATACAAAAGTGTTATATTCGTACCAATATGTTGATAAGCAAACATCCACATCTTATCAGAATAAAATTGTCATACCTTAGCAACATGTTTTCAAGCCGAATATTACATTTTCTTTGATGCTCAAACGTAACAATATTATTTCCTAGAACTATACCTAAGGGAATCAAAAGAAGAAAAATATGAAAAATGATAAATGTTACCTTTTTTTTTTAATTTTTCCTATTGACTGTTATCATGATAAGATCATGTCAGTGCCGTCTCTGTATTTAAATAATAATCATTTATGGTTTTGTTCACTTCATGCAGGAATATAGCTTTGCCTGCCATAGTAAATATCACATCCGTTCTTTATATGAATATAGCTTTGCCTGCTATATTAAATAGCACATCCGTTCTTTATATGAATATAGCTTTGCCTGTCATAGTAAATAGCACATCCGTTCTTTATATGAATATAGTTTTGCTTGCCCTAATAAATATCACATCCGTTCTTTATATGTTTTCAACTTTATCAAATATCACATATACAACTGTATGGATAAGAGAAGGACAAATGAAATATATTATATTTTTATGTGTGTTTACTGTTTGGTCTTATAAGATCTTGATTTATAGTACGGTCATATTTCATTTTTATTTACTATATGTATGTAAAAGTTAAGATAAAAAATTCATTTATATGATTTTATGTTTAAAGCAACTATATGCACAGGATTTATTTTGTTTATACACAGTTTTGATCTAAAAGACAAACCAACATGGTTAGAATATACAAATAATAACACCATAACAAACACAGTTCCATTCTATTATTCTTGTCATGGTTAGAAAATAAAAAAAAAAAATACAGGGTCGCAAAGTTGGTTACTCATTCCTTATTCCTTATTCGTTACTTATTCTTTATTCCTTATTCGTTACCTATTCCTCATTCCTTTTCGTTATCTATTCGTTACTTATTCCTTATTCCTTATTCGGTGCCTATTCGTTACGTAATCCTTATTCCTTATTCGTTACCAAATCGTTACTTGTTCCTGATCTTTATTCGTTACTTATTCCTTATTCCTTATTCGTTAACAAATCGTTACTTATTCCTGAAACTTATTCGTTCCTTGTACGATTTTAATATGTTTCTCCCTTTTTATGCTTTATTGTCTGGTAAAAGTTTTTGGTTTGTAGAGGTAAAATTACTCTTTTAGCGCGTAGGTACCCGTTTTTTGCACTCGACTGATACCCTGTTATGTATTCGCTTTTTATACGTTACACCTTTTTACTGCTTTATTTTTGTGTTTCTGGTGTTAGTTCTTGGTTCGAAGAGGTGAAATTACCCTTTAAGCGCGGGTAAATCCTTTTCCGCGCTGGACTGATACCCTGTTACTTATTCGCTACTTATTTGTTCCTTATTCGATTTTTATACGTTGAACCTTTTTAATGCTTACTTTTATTTTATATTCTTGTCTCTTGTGTTAGTTTTTGGTTGGTAGAGGTGAAATTATCGTATTATCACGTATGTACCCGTTTTTGCGTTCGACTGATACCTCGCTATTTATTCGCTACTTATTCGTTCCTTATTTGCATCTTATACGTTGCACCTTTTAATGCTTTTTTTAATTTTATTTTCTTGTCTCTGGTGATAGTTCTAGTTATTTGAGTGAAATTAAACCTGTTAGCGCGTATGTACCAGTTTCTGCGCGTGACTTATACCCTGTTCATTATTCGCTACTTATTTTTTCCTTATTATCTTTTTATACGTTGGAACTTTTGAATGATTTCTGTTCTGTTCTTTTCATGTCTCTGGTGTTAGTTCTTGAATCGTTAAGTCGAAATTACCTTATTATCGCGTATGTACCCGTTTCTGCGCTCAACTGCTACCCTGTTACTTATTCGCAACTTACTTGTTCCTCATTCGATCATCATACGTTGCACCTTTCTAATGCTTCATTTTCTTGTCTCTGTTTTTAATTCTTGCTTGGTAGAAATTAAACTACTCTATTAGCGCGTATGTAATCGGTTTCGCGCTGGACTGATACCCTGTTACTTTTTCGGTACTTATGTGTTCCTTATTCAATTTTTTTACGTTACACCTCTAATGATTTCTTTTCTTTCCTTTTCTTTCCTTTTCTTTCCTTTTCTTTCCTTTTCTTTCCTTTCTTGTCTCTTGTGTTAGTTCTTGGATGGTACAGATGAAATTACCTGATAAGCGCGTATGTACCTGTTTTTGCGCTCGACTGATACCCTGTTACTTATTCTCTACTTATTCGTTCCTTATTCGTTTTTATACGTTGAACCTTTTTAAATGCTTTATTCTTTTTTATTTTCTTGTTTCTGGTGTTAATTCTTGGTCAGTAGTGGTAAAGCTACCCTATTACTGCGTATGTACCCATTTCTGCGCTCGACTGATACCCTATTACTTATTCATTCATTTTTTGCTTTTTATACGTTGCATCTTTTCAATACTTTCTTTTTTTGTTGTCCCTGGTGTTATTTCGTGGTTCGTAGAGGTGAAATTACCCTTTAAGGGCGTGTGTCACTTTTTTTTTCGCTGGAGTGATACCCTGTTATTTATTCGTTACTAATTTGTTCCTTATTTGGTTTTAATACATTTGACCCTTTTAATGCGTTCTATTCTGTTATATTCTTGTCTTTGGTGTTAGTTCTAGTTAAGTGGAGTTGAATTAACCCTGTAAGCGCATATCTACCAGTTTCTGTGCTCCACTGAAACCCTGTTATATATTTGCAACTTATGTGTTCCTTATTCGATTTGTATACGTTGCACCTTTTTAATGGTTTATTTTCTTGTCTTCTGGTTTTAATTCTTGCTTGGTAGAGGTAAACAATACTGCTTCATTAGCACGTGTTTACCCGTCTTCTCTCTGGACTGATATCCTGATACTTATTCTTTTTTTATGTTTCATCTTTTTAATGCTTTCTTTTCTTTTAATTATTTGTCTCTGGTGTAAAAAAAAGTAAAATCACAAAAATACCGAATTCCGGGGAAAATTCAAAACGGAAAGTCCCTTATCAAATGGCAAAATCAAAAACTTGAACACATCAAACGAATGAATGGATAACGTCTGTCACATTCCTGACTTGGTACAGGCATTTCCTTATGTAGAAACTGGTGGATTGATCCTGGTTTTATATCTAGCTAAACCTCTAACTTGTGTAAGTTCGTGGTTCTTAGAGGTTAAATTACTCGTTTACCGCGTATGTACTCGTTGTTGCGCTGGACTGATACCCTGTTACTTATTCTTTCATTATTCGCTTTTAAAAATTTAATACTTTTCACCATTTTAATGCTTCCTTTTTTTCTGTTATGTTGGTTATTGGTTGGTAGAGGTGAAATTATTCTATTAGCCCGTGTGTACCTGTTTTCGCGCTCGACTGGTTCCCTGTTACTTATGCGCTACTCCTTCGTTCCTTATTCGATTTTTATACGTTGAACCTTTTAAGTGCTTTCTTTTATTTTCTTTTCTTTTCTTTTCTTGTCTTCTGTGTTATTTCTTGGTTAGAGGCGAAATTACCCTTTTAACACGTATGTACCCGTTTTCGCGCTCGACTGACACTCTGTTAATTATTCGCTACTTTTTCGTTCCTTTTTTAATTTTAATACGTAGAACCTTTTTAATGCTTTATTCTCTTATATCATTTTGTCTCTAATGATTAATCCACAATCCAAATTCAGAGCTGTATCAAGCTTGAATGTTGTGTCCATACTTGCCCCAACTGTTCAGGGTTCGACCTCTGCGGTCGTATCAAGCTGCGCCCTGCGGAGCATTTTATTTTTTTACTATATGTATGTAAAAGTTAAGATAAAAAAATCATTTATATGATTTTATGTTTAAAGCAACTATATGCACAGGATTTATTTTGTTTATACACAGTTTTGATCTAGAAGAAAAACCAACATGGTTAGAATATACAAATAATAACACCATAACAAACACAATTCCATTCTACTATTCTTGTCATGGTTAGAAAATACATAACAAAATTACAAGGTCGCAAAGTTGGTTACTCATTCCTTATTCCTTATTCGTTACTTATTCTTTATTCCTTATTCGTTACCTATTCCTCATTCCTTTTCGTTATCTATTCGTTACTTATTCCTTATTCCTTATTCGGTGCCTATTCGTTACGTAATCCTTATTCCTTATTCGTTACCAAATCGTTACTTGTTCCTGATCTTTATTCGTTACTTATTTCTTATTCCTTATTCGTTAACAAATCGTTACTTATTCCTGAAACTTATTCGTTCCTTGTACGATTTTAATATGTTTCTCCCTTTTTATGCTTTATTGTCTGGTAAAAGTTTTTGGTTTGTAGAGGTAAAATTACTCTTTTAGCGCGTAGGTACCCGTTTTTTGCACTCGACTGATACCCTGTTATGTATTCGCTTTTTATACGTTACACCTTTTTACTGCTTTATTTTTGTGTTTCTGGTGTTAGTTCTTGGTTCGAAGAGGTGAAATTACCCTTTAAGCGCGGGTAAATCCTTTTCCGCGCTGGACTGATACCCTGTTACTTATTCGCTACTTATTTGTTCTTTATTCGATTTTTATACGTTGAACCTTTTTAATGCTTACCTTTTATTTTATATTCTTGTCTCTTGTGTTAGTTTTTGGTTGGTAGAGGTGAAATTATCGTATTATCACGTATGTACCCGTTTTTGCGTTCGACTGATACCTCGCTATTTATTCGCTACTTATTCGTTCCTTATTTGCATCTGATACGTTGCACCTTTTAATGCTTTTTTTAATTTTATTTTCTTGTCTCTGGTG